ATAACTCACAATGTAAATGCGTTGTTTTACTGTAAGTTTTTGAGTTTAGAATAAAAAAAATGTTTACTGTGTAAATCCCATGACTTAATGTTTCTGGTAAATCAGTTATACATAAATACTGGCACTTTCCAATCCATTCCAGTGCCGCTTGTCAGCAAAACACACTCCTTAGTTACATAACTCAGTTAACATTAAGACAAACATTCACAGAACTGATTGTGCCAGCAGCCTGCAGTGGCATGAATTGAGAATATCTGGCATTCGAGGAAAAGGAGTGCTGCAAGCTACTGTATGTAATTTTCAAGATTTCCACTAGGTGTCACTTCAAGACTGGTATGAAAATATTGCATATGACAAGTGACAGTATTGCAAGTCTTTTTGTTAGATGATGAGTTACTAAACCTGTGTTACTAAAAACCTGTTTAGTGTTACTAAACCTTTCCGATAATAACAATAATCAAACTTTGGGTTGGCTTCAAACTGCAACGTACCGAGGAACTGCTGGAAACCACTTCAACACTTTTAGTACACTTCTGAGACATTACAATACCAATCACAATGCCAGCAAATGGCTGTATTCAGGATGACCACATATAATGACGCTGGCACAAGATGAATGGATCAGGGTCACACAGTTCTCAAAACTCCCTTGGAAGGCACCTGCAACAGCCAAAACATGCCAACCTGTGAGGCGAATATCTTGCAGTCAGTTATAACACTAATGGTGGCCACCACACTAGATACTGTCATTTGAAGAGCTTTTACACCCCTTGTTCATGTTCATTTAGCTCTGAAACGCACTCATACAGTACATACAATTGTATTATTATCGTTCTAACTATTAGGTGAACAATTGCATGGCTGAGGTATACTGTATGTAATGTTTCAGGCACACTGCCTCCATTGTGATTTAGTTATTTTGTTTCTCATTATGTTCTTCAGCAGTGCACCATTTTGAGCTCCATTCTATGCACTTTTTTGGGTTAGTATAACTTTAAAAGAATGCCTTTACATTCTTTGATCAAGCATTACATTTTTGTACACTCAAAAGTAGTTGTCCTAAATTTTCAATGATTCAGTAACACTTACTGACAGTTTTAAGATCCTCACCCACTGTTCAGGTTTCAGTTTGAATCGCTTGACTGTCTGATAAATTTGAAAAGCTCTTAAAAATTGATTGAAGTTTTTTTTTTACCATTTGACTTCTTCATAATTTGTCTTTTTTGTAACCATCTAAATTTTTGTAAAATCAACTTAAATACGAGGCAAATGTACATGTGAGAAGGATTTAGAAGGGTACAACTAGTAAAAAAGTTAGTGAAAACGCACTACATATAAATATCTATCTGTTCCCTGTAAAGTGTGAAATTGTCAATATCTAATGCAATTAAATCAATCAAAATAATAAATAGAGTGCTTGTTATAATGACCTAGATGAAGCAATCATTTAAATTAATGTGACATAATATATTAATATATATTCCACTGTTTAGTAAAATTAAACACAATCATACTCAGATATACTTATTAACAGTATTCAATTAAAGCCCATAATGAAAATAATATGGTAATTATCTTGGGTAATTAAGTGGGGGCAGTAAACTCAAATGCCATGTATATCTGGTTCATTACATTTAGTGATACTTGATGCTGGAGCTTAGAAGACAAATATGCCCAAGTAGATGTCATGCTTAACCATATACTATTAATATCAAATGGATTTACAGTAAGTGTGTGTATGAATAGGGTTGCGCATACAGTACGGTATACATGACATTTCAGTATCCCCCATTAGAATATAAGCATGGAACAAATGTTTTAATGTGTATTTTGTTTTTCTTTTTTAACATTTATGTTCATTGAAATGTTCCTTATGTTAAAATCCAATACAGAACATACAGTATGTTCTGATTGATGTTCTGCAATGGAGCTGTACCAAAATACAGAATTTGTACATCATATCATAAAATACAGGATATCTGAACGTGTTCAGGTTGAAAGGTAAAGTAACATTACTTCTAATGCAGGGAGGTTAACACTTTAACCACTTATGCCACAGAAGAACTTCTAGGGCATAATACATAATACCTTTGTGGTCAATATGTTAATGATCACACAGTACTTATATTTCTTAAGTTTAATTTGTAATTAAATGTGGTTATAGTATGGATATAGTGCAAAAGTATTCACAACCTTCCAATAATGTCCAAATTTGTTGAGTTACAATGATGTGTACACTTTGCTTTCCGAGTTAAATTTAAATGAATAGAATGTGTCAATATGTTGTGAACCCATGAACCCCAACCAGTCTGATAGTGTGTGAGCACGTGTACAAGGATAATCCTGACACGTGAAGTTGGTAAAAGCTTATCCAAAAAAACTCATAGCTGTAATTTCTCCAAGAAGGTGCTACAGTACCATATAGTATGGACTCAGGGGGTGAATACTTATAATATGTAATAATATGTGTTGAGTTTTCTTTGCTGCCTTTTCTGTCTGCCACTTAACTTATTTTACTCATAAATAAGTTCAGTTTGAGCATTTAAGTTTTGATTAAAAACATTAACAACATTTATTTTAAACAACGTATACAATATTTTGCAATTCAACAACATGGGACATGACTGGAAAGGTTTTGCAAGACACTGTGTATACAGTACATTACCTTACCTCTTACATCTGAGACATCAACATTTCACATGCTGTGTATTTATACAACTTGGGAAACTTTATATTTTGTATTTTTATAAACGTGATTTCCATTACAAGTTTGGTTCTCTATGTTTGATCTTTAATATTCTACAATTTCTTCCACTACCTACTGTACTCTCTCACCAAAAAAGAGATCAGTGATAAGATCAGAATTTAAATAAGCTCTAGTGATTTCTTTATCTTTCGTCTGATATTTAAGCAAATGTTGTTTTATCATTCATCAAATGGGATTTTTCATTCAGTGAAATACTGTACTTTATTCTGAAAAAAAGGAGTTGGATGGAGTTGAGTAGCCTGTTAGCACATGAAGCAATTGGCTAAAATGGCCTCTTTAGGCAAATGAGTAAAGTAGGAAGATATCTAAATTAAGACTCGAACTACAAACAAAACTGAAAAAATGCTTATTAAGCACAACAGTTTCCAATGTGGGGTTGAAAAGATGTGGGCAGGTTTGAGCAACTCTACTAAAAATCCAGGTCACCAAACCTCATATACCTTCAAGACAAACAGTGGTTATACAGAAAAAAATGCAGTGTAAGATATTTCTTCAAATGACATGGATTGAATTGAATTCTTTTAGAGAACAGTAGATGGAGAGACATTTTTACACTAACCTCGCATTTACTTGTGTTTTTTATACTATCTATTGCAAAATGTTTTTGCTTGTATACTGTATATGTTTAATTGTATCTTATTTCATATCAATAGCTTCATAAAACCTTATCACAGATAATAAAATGGTTAGGAATGCAACCCTCATTCCTCAAAAGAGAACAATATCTCAAAAGTGGTATATAGTGGGCTTTAGGTAGATTGAGCTGGTATATATAAGGTGCTACAGATGTTCAGGTGGAATGTATAGTATGCAGAACACAGTGATCCACCCCTGACCCTGAGGATATCCTGTAACTGTGGTGTTTTCGGCCTCTTTGACATATGAACCCACAAAGGGCTGCTGAAGAAAACTTGTAATCTGGTATCCACGTTTCTCTTTACCATTACTTTGAAAAATGGAATGTTCCAAATGGAAACTACACTATATACCCAAATCATCATGAGTGAGGCCAGGAAAGTCATGAGAACAGTGGAGATTTGGTCACCTTAGGCGTCCTGTCATGATCGTAATCCCTCCTCTTAAGGGCACTCCGGCCCTTTCATATTTTAGTTGATTGCTTGCACCTGCCCCCTTATTTAAGCCTGGCGCTCTCGCGATTCCTGGCTCAGCATTGGAAGACGGACGCCAGGAATCCCGCCCACCAGCGGCGTCCCAACCATCTGAGTCCAGGGCTCGGAGCACCTGGCCTCGTTAATTCGGTTTTATTCCCTGTCCCTGTTTCGGATCCCGTTCCAGATTTTAACCTAGTTTGTATCGTCTTGGATGGATCCCCCAGTTTAGGACTTTGGACTGCACCCCTGATTTCCCCTTTTGGACTGTCTGGATCTGTTCGCCCTTGCTGCTGTCGTCACGCCCCCCTGTCTGTCTACCCATCCTATCCTGCTGTACCTTCCCCTGATGTCCTTCCCCACTTACTGGACTTCTGGATCATAGCACCTGCACAATGTCCTGAACAACGCTTCACGGGAGCCTGGACTGGCTCCCGTTACACATCCAGTTTCAAGCATTGCCTTTCTCATGGACAGAGCAAGAGCTTATCACGTCTCCTAAAAGTGTGTGCTGTAAACCATAGTCAACTGTAACACAAGTGTTTGCCATGCATATTAACATGTAATAGTGTACACGATCAACAGGGGCAAGCACAGTCTGGACAACATTTGGACAGTGCAATAACTTTGTCAGGGTTTCCAAAAAAGACCAAGTTAATAATCTGGTTTTGTTTTTGTGTGATACATGAATCATATAAATTAAGAATTCATACACTATGAGACATACAGTATGTCATATATAACAAGAAAGTAGTATATGATGTAATATTCATTAAGCCTTACTGGGACATTTTCCATAGAGCCAATCAGACCTAATCTGCATGCTTTAAAAGTCCACATTAACATCATCAGTGCTGAAGGATGTAATCAAACAGGACTCTGGAACTGTTGTATTGTTAACCACTATTCTAATTGTCTACTGTACATAATATATATGATACAAACTGTACAACATCTTTTTAACAAATGTCTTTTTTTGTTACAATGCTGTTCAGTGTCCTTAATTTTAAATTAAGGTACACGTGTTTAAATGTTGCTTTCCTACACTCCAGAATATCTCAGTACACTACGTTTTAGTGTGGGGAATTCCCAGTACAACCAAAAAATTAGAAGCTGTTACAGTATTGCATCACACACCTTTATTGCTCAATCAGGGAAGTAGTTGATGTCATCTTGTAAGACAAATATGCTGTACTTTTTTTCCCTCTGTAAAAAAAATGGTATTTAAATAGACAACTGCATCTGAAATCTGTCCATTTTTCTTTATTCTCATTAAAGGCATTGCATTTTATTAATAATGTAACACAAGTAAATACATGTTTACATTGAAAAATAATGCTGGTTTATTCTACTTAATAGCTTATATGCAGAAATAATAAAAATCAATAATTGCATTGAAGCTGAAATGAAATATTAGATGCTTTGTGTGGCCTTGAGCAGTAGGGTTCCGAGGAAATTCGTGAAGAATAAAGGTCTTTAAAGCTTTGTCACTCCAGAATTTGCAGCATGTTACTCTGTATTTTTCCCATCTTCCTCTCCAGTAGATGTGGGCTTAGCCATATTCTTCAGTCTGGAGCTATTGACACACAAGGACGTGGTTAACACATGTAACAGAAACAGTTATGTGAATCGCTGAAAATATGAAGTTGCTTTATGGTATAAAAACAGTAAAAAATTGATAAAAAGCAATTTACAAGTCTGCACTTTAATTATGTACTGCACTATTTATCTGGCTAAAAACCATCATGGTGTATCGGCATCCATTTTAAACCACTATCAGTCTTGCATGAAAGATATTATAAGTAGGTAAATTTTACTGTACCTTAGATACTGCAGTGCATTCTTAACCCAGGTGTCTTTCGCACTTGCACAGATTTTTTTTCCACGGTAGGTGTAGAAACTACATTTATTTAAAAAAAAGTAATAGAAATTCAGTTTGGTGCTTTTTCTTAAGAAGAGTGGTTAAACACAATAAATATAATTTCCATGTTTAAGTACATCTCATCTGTTTCGATGGGTTTTGCACAGAGATGTTATGGGAAAAGCCCACCTGCAGACAGAAGGCTTAGCCAGCCCTTTTTTCTTTGAAACATACTGTATTTACTGCTTGTCAAAGCTGACTGACATAGTAGCTAATGGAAGACATACTGTAGGAAAAAGCAAACCACGTGATACTGATCATCAATGTGGCTTTGGTATTACTGAGTTTCGTACAGTAAGAGGAGGTTTATTTTAATAGTACATGACTGTTTCACTAGCTTTCAATTGACGTGGTATATAAAAATATCTACACTCCAAACTCCAAAAAATTGTTTCTTTATTTAACCCTTGAGAAGTGTGCTTAGTTGATTCTGCTATTGTCATTCTATTTACTGAACAGCACCTCTGTGATCTCTGGGTGTGCATTAGTTATTCTGATTGTACTCAATTAATATGAAATGCTTAGCTGAAAAGGGTATTATAGCTCAATAGAACTGTCATGCATTTTAAAGATTCAGGATAATATAGAATCCCTCAAATAGGCAGGACTTTCATGAGTAGTATATATTTACAGAATATTTTACATACATGATCGCATCTAATCTACAGACTTCCAGGGAACTCTGCTCATAATATCCTTTAATCAACTTGAAAGGCACTGGTTTGGTGGTGTAATTAATACAGCAGTCAAGGTTGAGTGGTCTATCTGCAAGACATGAACAACAAAAGAACGCATCAGTATGTGCCTCATCTTTTTAGCCAATGTGAAAGAGATATCTACAGTTTGGTACATGTCAAAAGACTTAAGCTTAGAACTTCCAGAGAAACACTCAAATAAACAAAGCAGCCAAAAAACAACAATAACAAAAACTAAAATCACCTTTGACATCAAAGGGAAGATAAAGTAACTGAGAAAAGGTGTATTGAAAGGTACCTCAGTAGCTGTAGGAGTAATAACACCCATACCGTAAGTACAGTATACTTTACATAATTATAACAATCACTAGTCTTACACTAATCCCATACTTTAATAGTAATAGACAATTAACAGACATGAATTAATTAATAGATAATAGACGTTAATAGTAGTAATGAGACTCCAGCGTGACCTACGTTCACAGAAAAAACAAATGTGTGTTTGTACATGATCATATTTTCCATTTTAAACTGTATCATACAGGTGAGCCACCCATGCAGTGTCAGTTCTCCTCACTGCCTCCCACACCTTAGTAAGGTGCTTCTTATGATACCTGCCCATCAGCCCCAGTCCACTAGGTGCAAACAAACCCACAATCCTAAAGCAATTAACCCTTATCCCACAGAAATCTCTCCTATAGCTCCCACAAACATATTTAGTACTCTCAGCCCCTTAAGCCACTTTGTTGTTGTTTTTTACTTGCCACTGCAAGCATGATAGCAGTAGATGTGGTTTAAAGAGCAATGTAAATGTAAACAAAAGTTATTAATCAACCACTCACTACTGGGACACACGCAGTGACAATTTAGAGACCCCACTTGGCTTAGGCTGATCTTCACAAGGAAACCAGAGCACCTGGAGAAAACTCATGTGAGGTCTGCAATCAAACCGCAATGCTGTCAGACCATAAATAATTGTACCATAAATAAATAGTCACTGTATATAATAATTAAGACACAGCAGACTTTTACAAATCTGTTACTTCTAATACTGAGCAAATCACTGGGATATTTGTTTCGCAAATATCTGTTTTAAATATTTGTTTCAAAAATGCTTCTCCTAATTTTATTGTACCACAACATATGATCAAGTTCAACAAAGACAGAGCAAAAACTCACATGCAAATGCTTTCTCAAGAGTGATGATTAGAAAGAGGCATGACAGCAGGGCAACAGTGAACAGGCTTCTCTGAGACATCCTGTCGGTTGGAGAAATGGCTTGGTTGGCTATGTGCACCTCAAGCTCATGTCACTTTTATAGAAGCCTTATGGGCTGGGGGGATGGTGTTAGTGGCTGCTGTTGGTCTTTACATGATGTCTGAAAACATCCTCAGTTCAAAAATCCAAGACGTTCTGAAAAATCTCAAAGGCACAATAAGAACTCATTACCATTTAAAAAGTATTCTGCCACTGGCACAGTTTTCACTATAAAGTTTGCAGTCAGGACATTCAAGTAGCCTTTAATGTTTGTTGAGCACAACCTACTCCACACATTCAAAGCAAAATATAAGTGAAAGAACTGAAATAACCGAAAGAAAAAATATGAATAATGAACATGACAGAAAAATGAAGTCATGATTGCGTAAGTACACAAACCTTTTGCTGTGGCAAGTATAAATTAGTTTAGGTGCACAATATTACCTCAACAAGGCACACAGTTAGTCTCTGTGTGCAACAATAGCAATTCAGAATAAATACATCTGTCTCTGCAATGTCTATTAGCTAGGTAGTGAATACGAAGAGTTTTTGCAAAGATTTAACCACAAAGATAAAGGTAATGTTTAAAAAAACTCAGGGATAAAGTCATAGAAAGGTACAGACCAAGAGGAGGGTAGAAAAAGTCTGACATTGCATATCCCTTTGAAGACAATGAAATGGGTTATTAAGAAATGCAAGGTGTATAATGTTACTCAGACACCGCCAATCTCAGACTGTCCCTCCAGGGACTAACGTGGTTAGGAATTCCACTGTGGGGGCAACAGTGACTTTGAAGCTGCAGCCTACTACAATAGCTGAGAAAAGATCCATGACTGTATAGCACAGTGACAAGAAGTATGTCATTACTGGAAAAAACAGTTCAAATACTGCGTGGATTTTGAATTAAAGCATTTAAGTGATACTGGTGACATGACAAAACTTGTTTAGTGTCTGACATGACAGAATTGCAATATTGGTCTAAATGCAAAATGTTACTTCTAGTGCATACAACACAGCACATCATCCTGTTAGCATCATCCCTGTTGTCAAGCATGGTGATGGCGGTATTATATTATGGGGCTTCTACTCATCTGTAGAGACTGAATAGCTTGAAACGACTGAAAGGAAAATAGATGTACAGGCAAATATTAAAGAAAAACCTGTTTCAGATTTCTTTCTGCTGAAGAACAACAACTGGGAAGGAACTTCACCTTTCAGCAGAAGAATGACCCAAAGCACATTGTCAAAGCTAGACTGGTATGGCTAAAGAATATGAAAGTTAATGTCCTTGAATGGGCCAAAGTCCTGAGTGGAAAATTATTGACAGTTTGTGGAAAGACTTGAAATCCACTGTCCTTAAGCAATCCCCAAGCAACATTACAGTGCTTCGGCAAATCTGCCATGAAGAATGGGTAAAATCCAAGTTAGTGTGCAAAGCTGGTACTCTTGAACAAAAGTGTGTGGCTCTAATTGCTGCCAAAAGTGTTTCCACCAAGTTTTTAGCTCTGTATATGTACAGTATGCAATCAACGTATTTTTTTCTCTTTTATTATTGCTATCATTTACAGTAACCTTCGCAGAAGTCTTCAGATGGAGCACTGAGGTTTTGAATAAAATATTCAGTTCAGGAAATGTGCATCAGATTGTAACTTCACAAAAAGGGACACCCTTTGATTTTCTGAATGCTTTTGCATAGCTCTTGTGAACATAGACTTTTGTGTGCCCATAATTATTTTATTTAATCTGTGTGTTGAGAAGTGGCAAAAAAGTAAGCAGTTTCATTAATTGCATAGGAACTAATTCAAGAATGTGGTGCATTTCTCAGCAAAAACAGTAAGAGGAAACCTGTCATCTGGCCAAAGACTAGACACAATTAACATTTGCTTTGAGTGATTATCATTTAATTATATGATTCAAAATGTAATTCCAGTTTTGTATCTGACAGGCCTAGAGTAATAGTGTGAAGACAGCTGTCATGGTGTATTGTGCACGGTACACCATGAAATGTTGTAGAAAGAAACAGCATTATAGCATTGCATTACAGCAGATTTATGTGTGCTGAAAGTGGAGAAAGGAAATGCAGGACTTTGCAAAGAAAGATTTTGCAATGAATATGAATATGACAACTAGACGTAAATTTAAGAACTACTGATTTGACAAGATTAGGATCAAAATATGCTTAGTAGGAAGTCCATATTTGAAAAAAGAATCTGTTTGAGCAAATAACTTTGTATCACTATATTATCAGAACGAACTGTTGTAGGCACTGTACATAAAGCTATGAATGATCACGTAGTTCTAAACTGTGGTTTTGTTAAAGGTGAATCCCCTTTGTTAATAATAAATTTAGCATTATTGCTCATTTGGAATATTACTAATTTATACATCATTACTTGACTAAAGGTGGTTGTAGCTATCATAAAAAGAGTGTTCTACAAACCTTTCAAAAACTAGGCCATCCTGTTCTGCCACAATCTTTAAGACAAAACCTACAGATGAGTTTTATTCACATAGTTTTTCTAGAGAGTAAATGAAAATAACACTGGAGATAAAAAAAAACATCTGCCTCTATCCCCCTTTTAACGTGAGATGGACGATTTATTAGCAACTTAGTTTCAAACAATATAAGAATATGTACTAGCTTTGCAAAATCTGCATATCACATAACACTTTAGACTGAATAAAAAGGAAACTGATTATTTGACCTACTTTATGGTGTCTGATGATATAAACAAATCTTGTAAACTATTTTAACTTCTGAAAACCCAGATTTCCAAATGTTGTCAGGAAGTTAGAGAAGAAATATGTTGAAATTCAAAGAATGCAGAGCTTGCATTTAATCACAATATGTATTTATTGTGTTGCACAATACAATTGCACAATATGTAATTATTGTACTACAATAAGTCTTGTAGTACAAATCAAATCATCACATGAACACATATTTTACAGATTCCACTTTTAGTTCCTCAATAAGCAAAATGAACATCTTGTGTTCTAAACAACACATTTCTGAAAAATACTGTTTTTGTTCTCTTCCTAAATGAAATACTTAGCTTTAATACTGTGTTCCTTACAAAGGTCACTAATAGTACACCTTATTTAAGTACAATTTTTAAAAAAGCATGAAAAACATGCATAAGGCCCACTATTACTCTTACAAAACTTACTTATGGGACTGCATCACTTCCAGTAGTAATAAAAATCAACCATTTATATCTGTTCTGTGTTAAACATCAGCAGATGTTTCATTGTTTTTGTCCATGGCTCCTATTTTCCTTAGTCCTGTAAGAAACAACACATGTAATAAAAACACTTATAGTAAAAAAATGCCGTGTAATAAACACTGTGACTGAGTGATCTTAGAGGAGCTGAATGGCCTATTCTATTTCTGGGTTTTCATAATATCCCTATTCCAAAATCCACGACCATTATTCATGAGGCTTCAGTGTTCAATTACTAATGTTCTAACATTTATTTCTAAAAATCTGAAATTCCCAACAGTTTTTACATGTGAAATTGGCAGTTAATCTGTTCAGACTGAATACTTAAATACCATGAACTGTTTGCTCCGAAATGTAAGTTTGTCAGAACCAACCACCTGCACTGATTCACATGGCCTTGGTGTGCCTTTCACACTTTTGTGCAATGCATTTTTTTAGCCATTACAGCCAGCCTTTAACAGGAAGATCTTATATAATTAAAACCCTGTGGTTTGAACGCAATCTGCAAATGCAAAATGCAAATCTTACTTCAATCGACGAATGATTTCTTTCACCTTCCTCGCTCTTGGATCGGCACAGATCTCCCATCCCTTCCTTGTGATAAGCCTGCCAAAGGCAATACACACTTTCACACCTGCTGCTGTGTATGTAAGACACACTGAGAGGAGGAATTTGAAATCTACTGTATGCTTTATACAGTATGTAAATACTATCACTGTTAACTACAATCTGCCTTACATACTAAAAGAACTCCAAGTATACTGAAATAATACAATTTCCACAAAAATACATTTTGACAACAGTTTAAACTCTGTGAACCCCTAAAATAAAAAACACAGGGAACTTTGTAAATAGTGTAGATGGTTTGACACAGTTTATTAGTAATACTATTAGAATAATATAATACTATTAAAAACATCAAATGAAGAAGTTATAAAGAACTTCTTAGACACCTCTTAGACAACAAAGGAAAAAAAAGCATTTTTTCTTACAAGACAGCTTCAACATTGCAGACTCCATTAGAATCCTGTTTCTTGTATGCCTTAATAAGTTCAGGTTTTACTTTCTGGATACTGGAATAGCTGTTACAGCAGCGATATCCTCCTAAAAGAATGATGACAATCATTATTTGTCGTTTTTTTGTTCTCATTTCTGAAAGTAAAGGTTAGAAATGCGTTAGATGGAGTCGTACTTACTCGCTGCATCAGTGGTGTTGTAAGAAACAAATACTGCAATCAGTAAGAGTGCAGCCAGGCTCAGTGTTCTGTAACTCATCTTAACATTAAGCATGATGATACAGTTACAAACAATTACAGAAGAAGTTAAACAAGCAGAGCTTCAGCTGAAGGAGTGCATTGCAGACTCACATTTATACACTTCTATGAGGTGAAGGGAAAATTTGCAGGGCGTTATGCCAAAAACAATTGTACTTTTCTTCCTCTCTGGGGGGATTCTCGGGCAGGTGGAACGTTTAAAGTTCACATACGGCACATGAGCACCCATCCCTCCGTGGGATAAAAAGAGAAGACCTGTGGGCAGGAGGTTTTGTGCATTGTTCAGCGTCTCAATAACGCTGTGGTAGCAGCGTAGGCACTGTGTACTGTAAAATAAGCTTTATGAGCATGGGAGGAAAACAGGTGTGTTACCCATAAAATAAAGGAATACAAAGTTGGGCCAAAAGGAAAAAGCACATTCTTTGTGCACATTCTTAATCAAATTCGCTATTTTGTTTTTGTTTTTTTACAGAAATTTTTACCTTATTTCATATTGATCAATATCTCTGTTTTGATAAGGTTCGATCGTTTTGGTTCAAATACTGTAAGTGTCTGGCTGTTCCTTGAAAATGCACTTAAAGACATTTCTTAGCATGTTACTGACCGAGTAAGCTTAGTTTGACATTAGTTTGTTCTGCTGTAATCATGTCTAGTCTCTCATATATCAGTAAAACTGATTACAGATCCATAACTCATTTTAGAAAGGAGGTAATTTCCATATCCAAGTCACATTGGCTCATCAGGCCAGAGCTTATCCTGTCTAAACCAAAGAGAGAGCTATTGAATCCACACTGCTCTCCCGATTACCCCCAGTGATGAGGTCACCACGTCTACAGCTGCCTGGACTGGAGCAGCTGGGATACAGGACCTCACTCAAGGCGTAACAGCAGAATCACAGCAGGGGAGCTGAGCTCACAACTCACCAGTTAGTTTGAGGAAGTACTGTACAACATTAACAGACTTGAGAAATTCTTATCACCGTAGGAATTCCCCACTCTGCCTTGGCTAATCAGTGACAGAATTTAATCCTTTCAAACATGAGAGTTCAAACACACCAGAGACAGTCCAGAGCAGTCCTGCTCCCCAACACCCTTTACTGTACATTCAGGCAACAGATCCCATTCAGATCCTGTCCTGGACAAAACTGTACCACAGTTCTATCTCACAAAATGTTATAGAGCACCTAAGAACGGCAATACAATCATTATTTCTGGTTGTAAATTAAAGTAATTTTCCTGTATGCGCTTATCTTAGCACAATACTTTGCTTAGATCCTGTTCCGGAGGCTGAACTAGAGGTGCAAATTACAATATCTGAATACAAATGCTACAAATTAAAAGTAGCATTATTGTATTTTAATATCTGATATGATTTATTCACAATACACATTATTTATATTTGGCTAACCATTTTTAAACATGTGTAAATGACCCAGTACATGCAACATACTATAGTGCATGTAAAAACCTTAATATAAAGTGTTACCAGAATAATAAAGCTGAGTTCAAATATCTAGCATTATTAGAGACTTGGTCAGTCAAAGCAAGTATAAATGTCACAATTTAATTTTTTATGTAATTTAATTTTCTACATTGTCCGTGTTACAGTGGTGTGAAAAAGTGTTTGCCCCCTTCCTGATTTCGCAGCATGATGTCTAGCTTTTGAGGATCTTTTGGTCTACTTCACTTTGTCAGGCAAGTCCTATTTAAGTGATTTCTTGATTGAGAACAGGTGTGGCAGTAATCAGGCCTGGGTGTGGCTAGAGAAATTGAACTCAGCTTTCCAAAGATGTGATAAACCACAATTGATTTATGTTTTAACAGGGGGGGGCAATCACTTTTTCACACAGCTCAAGCTGAAGCGCACTTGGGTTCTGCAGCAGGACAATGATCCAAAACACACCAGCAAGTCCACCTCTGAATGCCTTAAGAAAAACAAAATTAAGACTTTGAAGTTGGAGTGGCCTACTCAAAGTCCTGACCTTAATTCCGATTGAGATGTGTTGGCATGACCTTAAAAAAGCGGTCAAGGCTCGAAAACCCTCCAATGTGGCTGAATTACAACAATTCTGCAAAGATGAGTGGGCCAAAATTCCTCCACAGCGCTGTAAAAGACTCATTGCCAGTTATCGCAAACGCTTGATTGCAGTTGTTGCTGCTAAGGGTGACCCAACCAGTTATTAGGTTTAGGGGGCAATCACTTTTTCATACAGGGCCATGTAGGTTTGGATTTTTTTTTCCCTTAATAATAAAAACCTTCATTTAAAAACTGCATTTTGTGTTGACTTGTGTTATCTTTGTCTAATATTTCAATTTGTTTGATGATCTGAAACATTTCAGTGTGACAAACACACAAAAAAATAAGAAATCAGGAAGGGGGCAAACACTTTTTCACACCACTGTATATTGTATATTCAAAATACAATTACAGAAATCAAAACATTGCTATAAATTGTTTCGAAACCACGCAGTTGCACATACCTATATATCAAACTGTACATTTTGCCAACACCAGTCTGAAATTACTTATGAAATATATTGTGCTACAAGAAAGACACCCTGTCTTTCCATGAGATCATATTACATACAGCAGGGACTACACAATACTTCTGCCACTGGATCCTATTACCCTGTGTACATTTGGAAAACGTGTCGTCATGGCATGTCAGCTTTGTACTGATTTTTTCCCCTTTATATTGTTTACATGGGCTATTTCTAGGTTTGACTGAACTGACATTTCTCTAATTACATTGCATAATACAATTCACAGAGGAATGCACCTGCTGTCCTGCATACTGTACTTCCTTTTCTTTCACTACCTACTGCTTAGTTTAAAAATAAAGTACTGGACCCAAATTATACAGTAGTTAAGGCTGGAGTACTGCTACTGTGTTCCTACATTTGACCACATCTGAGGCAGTGGTGTACCTGTTTAAAATGCTGAGGTCTCCCTATGTTTTATTTTTCTAAAGAGGTCTAGTTACTCAAACCAGGTAGTCTTTATCTGTGTCTCTATTAATACCGCAGTATTATTTTATGCATGTAGTATCTCTATAAAAGGGATGTTTTAGAACATAAGTTCAAAGAAAACAGACCATTCAGCCCCTCTAGATTGTTGTGTCAAAAATAAAGTCAGACACATCTGCCCAAACAGTGAGTAGATCCTTAAATTAAAAGTTGCTGCTCTTCTGACTAAGCTATTCAGTGACTTTACTAGTGTGACAGTCCCTTTCTATTGATATTACATCACATCTTTCTTGGCCAGATCTCCGTTTTAAACCCTGGCGAATGCATGGCATCTAGTTGTAGGCCCTGCTTGTCACTTTCATGATAAATTCTGACTTTCTATTTAGAGGCCTTTCACCCAGAGCTCAGAGTGGCTGTCAGGAGCAAGCCAGGAGCAAGATAATAGAAATCTAAAATTAATTTATCTCATTTGTAAGATTTTTATTCTCTACCTTTCACTCTTCCTTCCTAGAATCTGGCAATTTGGCAAAGACAAACCATGGTCCTCCAAAAACCAGAGAGACAAAGCAGAGGGATGAGGTGATTAAATTGGATTTTAAGCATAATGCAATATTATGAAGCTACAACGGCTTTTGAAAAATGCACACTCTGTCATATCACATAACAATGTTACATGCGATCCACTTGCTAACTAAAGTTAAATTTAGCAAAGCCAATAAAATAACACATTATGTTCCCATACCAGGCTTTATTAAATGTAGCCACTTTGAAAATAAATGAGTAATTACTGTAAATATTTTTCCCTTTACTGTGTAAAGACTGTAATCATGATGCTGATGGTTCAAAGTGCAGTTTATATGGTGCTGTACATATGCAGTATGCTATAGTTTTGTTCACTATGCATCTATCCATATTCAGCATATCACATCATATCTTTGCATTGTTGACCTACTTTCTTTTTGTTTTTGCATTCCATATTTATATGGGGGTCCGGATGGCTGCCTCTACTTTTTTCAGTTCTCTTAAAATGTACAGTTAATTATTATTATCGTTTCAATTTCTATATCTTACTGTTTTAAAGTTCTTTTTCATCATAAATTACTGCCTGTTCACTAAAAGATTTGCTGAAGGCAATTCTTGATTAATGAATGTTCCCCAAGAGCAGTCACGGGCAAAATATTCATGGAATGTTCATGGCTCAGACTGAAAGTGTAACAGAATTTTAATGATCTTCATGTTTTTTCATGAGTAGTCGTGACATTTAATGACGAATTATGCATGAAATCCTCGAATTTATGCATGAAAGCTACATTTGCTGGCACCACCATGAATAATTCATGATTGTGCATGGTTTATTCATGATCATAAATGCAAGTTGCTTTGCTTTCAAGACGAAGCTGGGCTCTAGTTTCTCATTCAGAGAACACAACCTCAGCATTAGAACAAGCAACAGAACCCTGTATTTTCCTGAAGACATACAGAAGCTACTTTTAATATCCATCAAAACGGAATATTAATGTTCCAAAATAGGAGATAATCAACAGTTTCTTAAGAACCGTAAAGTCGTCCGTGGTTGCAAGACATTGTCCTTCAGCTTCAGCCTTTGTCTGCTTCCTGCAGATCATCACATAATATTACTCTCGGCAATGGATGCAGAGATTGTTTCTGATACAGCAATGCCATTTAGGTATGTTTCCTGTTTTATTGCTGATTAGGAAAACAAGAGCAGGTAATTTGCTAGATTGTTGTTATGGAAACTCAATTTCGGGCTGCTGACCTGATTTTAGACTTCCCAGTGTTTAGAGGTGGCATTGAAAGTAGTTTTAGATTAAATGTATGTTTTTCTGTTAGCATAAAAGGCTTTTCTTCATAAATAACAGATGTTTTTTTTTCAATGCATGTTGAAGACTTCCAGTTTTCTAATCAGAGATTTGAATAGTGAAAGGACCTCTGATAAGCCTCAATTACTATGTGGCTTATATTGAGAACCTTTGCGCACACAGTCATTGTGGTAACATTGTGAAACTCAGTGACATAAATTTCATAGACCTCGGTAACAGCACGTACAAAAATGCGCTCAGCTATAATTATGGCTGAAGAGATCCCATTAAGCTTTATTCTTTATCTTTCCTCTTTTTGCTTTCAGCATTGCAGAGAGGCTAGAGACGCTGGACCAGAAAGTGGCGACGATTCCCAAGCTAGAGATGGAAATCAAGGATCTCAAAAACCAGCTGAGACGAGTACAGAAGAAGCTCAAGAGCCTACAGGGGGAGGCCAGCGAGGGAGTGAAGGGAAAGTCAGAAGACCTGTATAACGGGCACACTAAGAAAAGCCTGGAAAACGTGCTCGGCCACGAAACATCACTGTCCGCTGCCTGTAAGGCCCTGCTGCTGAAGGTTTTCGATGAGCAGTACCTCATGACCCACAGCATCACGGGTCGTCGTGGCAACACGAAAAGGGAGCCCAAGCCAATGATGGATGAGCGCAGCATCCAGCTGATCCGCTACCTTCTCAAGAGCAGGTTCGGCCCGTGTGTGAACGACAGCACCATTACGGAAAAGATTCAGAATGTTCAGAAGGTCCTGCGGCTGAAACACCGACGCCGGGCAGCCCAGTCTCACTGAGCGCTCATTTCAGGCCTCTGATGAGGTTTTGAGGTTTTGCTGCACACACTGCATGGAGCTCACAGTTTCAACACCTTGAAGCAATTGCCACGTGTAACATCTTTTAATTATACAGTTCTGCCTTGAAAGTAATTTTTTAAAACAGCCATTTTGATGTAATTTAACAGAATGCTTTGAATGATACATAAACATTTCACTGCATTTAACAATTAGTATATGCTTATAGCTCAGTCCTAATATTTCTATGTGCAGCAGCAAAAACTATTACTGTGTCGGAGTTGTGATGCCCTGATTCTTTTTCTTGGAATGCCATGATCACCTTTCGTGGAACTATTGCCTGCTCTCTTTGAGTAGTTAACCACTGGCATAAACAATAAAACATCAACAAGTGGCTCCCCTTTCAGAATGCTAATTCATGGGGCACAAGTAACAGCTCCCTCACAAGTCATTAGTGGCTCAAACTGGACCACACTCTAAAAAGACATCATTAACTCTGCCATGGGCTGGCCAGGTACCAGACAACAGACAAACATTTGTGAGCGGCCCAACATAAACTTCATGCTTCCTGGGACTCTCCTTATCTCTCAGAAGGTTCTGTGCAAGTAATTAGGTATCATCTCATGGCCACATACTGTACTCTTTTACACAAGTTTAAGATCATTGATGTTTTGCATAAGGTGAAATAAAGTGCAATAAAGCATGAACCCCACTAATATTTGTGTTACACCGTATATGTTTATAGAACAAACAAATGATCTTTCAAATTTGAATGTCAAACTATGGAGTTGTGGTACAGTATGTCACTGTACAGACAGTTTGAAAAAAATATAATAAAACGTATAATCTAATCCATCTCAACCATTCCAGAATCAATTTCTAAAGCCTTGTTGTTATCGCTCTCAGACAAGATGAGTAGACAGCAAAAAACATTACCTGCCTCTGAGTTCTAGGTTCAGTTCCATGCAGTACAAAGACCAGAAGCTTGTGTGAAAATATGGTGGTTTTGTATACTTTATGTGCCATGAAAGTTTTTTATAAAGAAAACAGGTCCTCCAGACAACAATGCAATGCTATGGAATTTATTTGTAACTGAAAATTATATATACAGTAAATATACATGATTCTTACATTCCATAACAACAGGTTTAATCTCCAATTATATATTAAATCTTTCGCAATAGTATTTAATCTGTCTAAATCTGTAAAATAGTAACAAAAACATTTTTAAAACAAAAGGAATTCTTAAAAACAAAGTCAAATACATCCTGTCAGGCAGTTTTCGTCTTCCAGGGCTCCTCCAGTCTTGTTAGGAGTGCAAAAGTGTGTCAATGACGTCAGCCAGCAATCTTATTGTTCCTTTAAGAGTGTGCAGGGAAAACATCAGTATTTCAAAATAAAAGGACAAAATGTCCAAAAGATTCTTCTACATGAAAAGCATACTGCAAATGTTGAAACACGAAAAGTGACCTTACTTAATCTTCTGTATGGCTATCATAACCCATTTGTCTTTTGGATTTGCACAGATTTGCCTTCCCCTCACTGTTAAGAATCTGTGATAGAAAATGAAAAGAATTTAGCACGACAGATTGTTTCCCTCACAGTGTTAAGCATGAACATCTTATTTATTGACTTTTAATATGAGATATTCTAGCATTCAAAGCACAAACCACATACAGTATACAATATATACAGTATGAGTGTATGTATATTTATGGATCACTTACAGTCTATAGCTGAACTACAGTACAGTATATGGCTCATTAGAACATTATATTAAATCATTAAATTTAAATAATTGACTTCTTAAGACTTAATTGAGCAATTTAGTCATCAATAAACACCCAGGTCTAAAGACTATTCAGGCATAGAGGTCCCTTAAAGGAACAAGTAATAGGTTTATTCCATGCTGAAAAAAAAAAGAAAGAGAACACAACGTTTCAGCAATGGAGCCTTCTTCAGGTGTGAGAGAGACCGGCAGTAGGCAAATGTAAAGTAGCGGGAGAACTAAGGTTGGGAGGGAGGAGGAGTGAGAGCCAGGAGCAGGGGACAGAAAGAGAGGCCAATCAAGAGGTGTGAAGTCATCATGGGTGCAGAGAGGTGTGAAATGAAACTTCCAATGAATGGAGAAAATTTAGAAGAACAGTAGTCTGTCGTTAAGGGAAGGGAGAATGTGTGATCCTAGCTGCAGAATAATTTTGGTTTCGGTGGTCTTTCTGATGTATGAGTTGGGAAAACCGTCTTTGAGAACACAGACGGAGAGATTAGAGTGGTCGTGGCCGTCAGAGGTGAAATGAGAAACAATGGGCTTGGAGCGATCTTTAATCTTCACAGCCCTGACGTGTTCTCTGAGGTCCCTTAAATACTTGTTACATTGATCTATAGCTGAAAAGTGTTGTAAATCTAAAAACATACAGTACATGTTTCAGGGTGTCTTATAAAACTAGATTGGGGCCCTCCAGGACAAGGGCTGGAGACCCCTGTAATAGACAGTGTAATGTAAATGGTATAGGAAAGTATGTACAGTAGGTACAGTCACAGAGCAAAATAAGAGAGTGACATCTACAGTAAACAGATAAAATATGATATTGCTACAATTCAAGTTGAAATAGAGATAAAACTGTACTTACACTACTGCACTGATGTTGCAGTATTCCTTTGTATCTTGAATTCTATAATCTTTTATTATTTTGAGTGGGATTGGCTTTTCCGAATAAGACACACAACAGTTTACAGGACCTGTGGGGGGGGAAGAAGGATGTTATTTGCATTTACTACAATCTACAATCAAAGAAACAAACAAACAAACAACAAGTAAACAGTAAAAAATGAAATCGGGGCCGCAGTATGCGGACAAAATCTGGTGCATTCGAGATCAAACCGGAAGAAGCCGAGTAACGAATGTAAAGTTGCACATTCAGGTTTCACAAGGAGTGGTTCCGTTCTGCTGGCAGATGGGTCTTCTCCAAAGCTATTAAAACGAAAAGTGATGGTTTTCCACTTACTCTGAGATTCAGCGACTGAAGTCAGTGTCATCAGAACTGCCAGGACTATTGTAACGCTTAAGATAAGACGCTCCATTGGGGTTTCTCGATTCTTGCCTTAGCTGTCGAGTTATAAACTATCTTTGGCGGCACACTTCTGGTGTCTTTCTGTCGGGGTCCTCTTTTTATACATTTTTTACCATAGGAAATCTCCCATTCTTTCTCAAAAATACCTCACTCATGACAGGAACATTAGGGAAATTATTGCATAATGGTAAAATTAAAGTAGGTCACCTGGGGACCACAACCTTCGAGTTCCTTCGAAAACCTAATGCTTCCTGGGTATAGAAAATCCCCAACTCTTTACGTGCTTCCAGTATTATCTGACAAAAATTAAATCTACAAACGTAACTTCAATGCTAATACAGTATATACAGTATAGCACGTTTAGAGGGTTCATATTCTGCCATGTGATTATAAAAGAGTGAGCTACAGAAAAGTTAAACATAAATCATGAAAATGTTGAAATACCAGTTACAAACAGTACATGCAAAAATAAATGAAATCACAAAGGGGACTGACTTATGCTTCTTGGTAGCCTCATAAATAAACAAATAGCATGATCATTTCAATAGTCCACTCTGCAGTACATATTTCTCCTGTTATCCTCTGCTCTCAATATCAAATTAAAACATCTGGCCACAATATAATGGAATCGATGGATTCATTTTTGAGAAAATATCACTTCAATTACTGTTACACTCCTGTTAATATTGATTACTTTCATAAACCATATAATTGATTTCCATCAGACATTTCTGTGATTCTAAATTATACTGTATTTTGACTGCTTACTAAGAATAGCAGATGTTTAACACATTTATAAAAATTCTAAAATATTCCATAAAAACTAATGCAAATCTGACTTCTTGTCATAATCCTCAGTTGACTTACGTGTACCTTGCCAAACATGTTGAAATGGTACAACTTTGAAAAGATAACTGATGGTTCATCTGAATGCTCAAAATAACCTAGCAATAACATGAATCACTTTCACTTCCTTTGATAAGATAATTTAGGTATGAAACAGCAAATCGTTGAACATATCATCAATAAGCGCAACAGGTAATTTCAGAAGTTAGTGATAGTCAGCTCCATTGTATATGGTTAATACTGTTAACGAATTCTGACAGTGCTGCCCAGGGGTAACACATCAGAGCCTAATAAACACCCTTGTTAAGGAATGGGTAGAGTTGATGGAATTCGTTGTAAATTTCGAAATTATCTCAACTGTTGGAACATGTGACTACTTGACAATTCAGCTAATAAGTATGCTATTTTTTTTTCAATGTGCATTTTTTTATGATTTTGTGGCATAGAGCAATTTTTCTTCCAACATCTGAAAAGCATAAGTTTTGAATCTACATAAAAAACTTTAGTTGAAGGGAATTTGTTAGGAATTTGTGCACCTTACTAAAAATTATGATCTGTACAGTATATACTGTATGCTGGTTAAAGTATCGTTGCACAAAGTTTTTATTACTTAGCGCTTGGAGTAGGACAAGTCAAATCTGATATGATTTTGACAGTGGCTGTTAACATTTTTATGTGTATTTTACTGTAGAGGACATTTAGGGAACAAATCAACCACACTGTGATTAGACTTCTCTAAAATAAAACAATCAGAGGGAAGTTGGTATTTATATAATTTCTCTCAATAACTGTTATGCTTTGACTCTGTTTGAAAAAAAAATGGTACTCGTACTGATGGTATTTCACGAAATAATAACATTTTATTATCTTAGATTTCTATAATCTCACATCACAATTAAGAAAAAGCTTTGAAAGTATGGTATTCACTTGTATTACTATATTGTATTACTGTCTATAAATTCACTTCTATTACCAGATTTTTCTCATGAGGTACTTGGTTATTGTGAAACCAGATATTTCAAGTATAAAAGCATTAATAAGCACATGGCAATTTTTCAAGAGGAATTTTAAGAACCTCAGACAAAGAAATTGCCCTTTGGCGGTGAACTAAGTCATTTAAGAAATCTAGGGCATTCTAAATTAAAAAAAGTCAATTGAAAGTTATAAAACATAGGCGAAAAGCAGGGGTGGGAGATAAAGGGAAATTTATGACATGGTGAGAGAAGAAAGAAGATACAAATGTAGCTCACAGCTTGATTCACCGTGACCCATTTAGCTGTGGGGAAATAAGAGTTTTTCCCCTGCAAGCAGAACACCATTGCACATGACAGGCTTCCGTTCAGTGTACTATGTTCTTTCCCTAAACAGACAAATAAAACCACATAGATTTATCACGTATTCTCATTAATTATTTGGAATTAAATGCGTATTTTAAAATAACTACCATAGTTTAAAAACTAAAAATACAATCTTTTGTCTGGTGCCCATCGTGAATCTCTAGGATTCGAAGATAATCAATTCCACACAGTAGTGTGTGTCACTACCTTCTGCCATTAAATTGGCCAAGAAGCTTTAGTGCTGAGTACTCGACGTAGACATGACAATAATGGGACTAGATTCACCTAAGCAAAACCCTGCAAGGCATTGTCTAACATGGCCCTTTAGACTTCTCCAAGATCACTAGATACAGTGGACAATGTCTTGAACTTATTCAGCTTGTCAGCTCTAAAAAAGCATAACTATGGTCATACCTCATATTTGGTTAATTCTTTGGGTGTAGACATTTCTAAAACATTTCCAATTTCTTGTACTAGTTCATCCCCACCCATGCTATTCCTGAAATGAGTTGTATTCTACGAAAGCAGCAAGAGAGCACCTTGAGCATTTGTGGATGTAGAAGACCTGTAGGGATGTAGGGATGTAGGGATGACCCTAAGGCAGCCAGATCCTCATTGTACTATAGATATTGAGTGGCGTCACAGTAACCCTACAACTGATTTCTCAACCACCAATCAAATGCTTGGACCAGCTACTGTACTGTAAGTCGGCCTTCCTTCCCTCAACAAGAAGCACTTTTACACAACAAAATACACACTATTAATAATCATTTGTGGATCTCATCTTCTGCAATTGAATCAAATACACTCAATACTGATGTGGAGAAATTTGATTTATATCACATGTTACTTGTGCTTTGGACAGTATTCCCATACTGCTGTTCAAATCTAGTCTCCCTTGCACTAATCTAATCAATAAGTCTTGAAGTCTGGTTTTGTACCTTGTAGACATACAGTTAACTGCTTTTACACCTGTGTAAAGAAAAATAGAACTTTATAATTCTTTACTCTTTGGCTTCCAATGTATCCATTTTTGGCAAAATTATGTAACAGGTGATTGCAGACAATCTGCAATCTTATCTTGCAATTTATGAATTATTTAAACCTTTCCATTTGGGATTTAAACAAGGGCACATTACTGAAACAGCCCTTATTAAGGTGGGTAATAACTTACTTGATGGATTATGACTCTATGCTTGCCTTTCTGGAATAAGTGCAGCTTTTGATATTATGAATAATGGCATTCTACTGGATTATTAAAATTAATAAAGGATCAGTGTTCTAGTTGTTTTGGGTAATAGAAGCCATTTTTTTAAATCTTGGCTGTTTTAAACCTGATGATGCTCCAATTACTCAAGGCGTTCCACAAGGTTCCATGCTGGGTTCTTGCATCTTGGTCAGATTATTAACCATCATTGAATTGGGATTTAGGTTGAGGATGAATATGACACTTAGTTTTAGATTACTTACAAACTAAACCAGTTTCTACTGTTACTTTTCTGTATGTTACAGCTACATATTAAATATTAAATATGGGTTTATCTAAAGATAAACTATAATTAAAATGAACTCATTTCCGATCAAACCATACCATACGGTGTTACGGGAAGTCGAAGTCTAGCCAGCAAGCAACAAGCGCAAGGCAGTGTACCCCCTGGATGGGGCGCCAGTCCATCTCAGAGGAAGTGCAAGCCAATCACACATGGGGACACTGGAAGAACGAGGGGATAAATCTGGCCCAGACACCGGGATAACTCCCTACTCTTATGAAGAAATGCCCACGGATCTTTAATGACCACTAAGAGTCAGGACCTCGGTTTAACGTCTCCTCCGAAAGATGGCGCCCACTACAGTATAGTGTCCCTGCCACTATACTGGGGCATAAGGACCCACACAGACTGCAGGGTGAGTGCCCCCTGCTGGTCCCACTAAGCACCACCACAGCTTCCCAGGAGGTCTCCTATCCAGTTACTGACCAGGCTCCACCATGCTTAGCTTCAGTGGGTAGCCAGTTGAGAGCTGCAGGGTGATATATGTATATCTCCATGAAAAACATATTGGGGTCGCACTCCTATGCTACTCTTAATTTTACGACTCTTTTCTTGAAATGTGAAATACAACCTTTAAATGTAGCAGATTAAACATGAAAGCATTTTTTTCAGAGACTTTAAATAATATTCTAAAACATTTGTGTCCAACAATTTTGATTTGCTCTCTCATTAGGACAGGGCAGGTTTCAACATGGCAGTAAATCTTTTTTTTACCACTCCTATTAATTTTCCATGTCATGAGTCTCTAACTCGACTGGCGTTTTCATATTGTCATACTTACTTTCCTTTCTTTCAACTAATCAAGTGCAAATTCATCTTGACAATCTTTCAGTCTATATATAGTCTATATTAAAATTACAGTTAATTATTAGGATTATTTCAGATATTTTTTATATCTTGGGAATTTAACCCAAGGCCCCAGTGCTGTGAGGAGAAATACTAACCACTGCATCACTGTGCCACCCTTAATGTTATAACTATGAATTAGAAATCATCATTACTAGTTCATTACTACTCAAAAACCTCATCATTCTCTTTTCCACCTGTGGGAAGCACTTTCCCCAACACAACAATGGATTACAGTTTGTTCCAAACTTGCATAGCTCTAGTTCCAGGATAACTTTCTAACCTCAGTGTGGTTCAAGCAACTGAATTTTGAAGTGTTTAATAAAATTCTTATTATGAGGAACTATGTAAATTTGCGGTGGTCTCTTATGTTAATGTCTGAGTTATTTAAGCTCTTTCAAAGGTCAAAAACATTTCAATAGTGAGCAGGCATTAGGTACATTTCTGGCATCAGGGAAAAACTATTTGGTCGTATTTGGATTTGTATTTGGAAAACAAACACCTACCCTTATGTGGTCACACACCAAAAAAAACAGGTCTCGTGCTCCTGCTGTGATATGAGCTCCCAACACTTCCTAGTCTCATCTTTCATTTGAAGTGCTCTAATTTCAGAGATGGAGGAGAAAAGCATGTCTAGTCTTGATAAACCTTAAATACCAAGGGGACGGTTTTGCAGATACAGTACAACTGACACCAATATAAACTTTCAACAAAATTACAAATTCTAAATCTGAATTATTCACACCCCTTGGACTTTTTCATATTTTACTGTGTTGCAATATAGAATCACAATGTATTTATTTGGGATTTTTTGCCACTGATTGACACAAAACACTCTATAAAGTCAAAGTGAAAACAAAATTCTAACACTTACTATGAAGCATGGTGGTGGCAGTATCTTGCTATGGGGATGCCTCCCTACGTCAGGGCCTGGAAAAAGTGTGAAGAAAGAGAAGGAAAAATGGCTGCAGTAAAGTACAGAGAAATCCAGGAAGAAAACCTGCTGCAGTCTGCAAGAGACCTGGGACTTGGGAGAAGAACCATCTTCCAGCAGGACGATGACCCAAGCCATGCAGCTAAAGCCACAGTGGAGAGTCAATGTTCTGGAGTGGACCAATCAACAATCTGTGGCGGGAGTTAAAAATTGTTGTTCACCAACTTTTCCCATCCAACCTGAGAGAGCTTGAGTAATTTTTGCAAACAAGGATGTGCAAAACAAGTACAAATGTGCAAAGCTGGTAGAAACTTTTCCAAGAAGAAATATGGCTTTAATGTCTGACAAACTTGTCTCTACCAAATATTATCTCAAAGAGTGTGAATATTTAGTCAATCATTTTCCATTTTATGTGTATAATGAATTTAGGAGGATCTGTATATTTCTGTTTTCACTTTGACATTAATGGTGCTTTTTTCAATCCATAGCAAAAATTCCCAGTTAAATACTGTTAGACATTATTATTCCATATAGTAAAATGTAAAAAAGTGCAAGGGGGATAAGTACTTTTGATAGCCACTCAGCCGTTTTTCAAAAATTTCCTGCATTTACAGTAAGAGAACATTTCATACATTAACCACCTGAATTATCATTAATGTTTTTCTTAAGCTTTAGAATTAAATTATTTAAATTTACCATTGCACTCAATTCAGATTTAGGTATCATGCACCTATAGCCATGACATGAGTGTTTTCAAATCAGCATGTTTCATACTGCACATGCAATTGTCTCACAATTCCAATCCATTTTGTGTACCATTACCTATTTCAATACTTCTAACAAGACACCTGTAGACATAAGTAATGTCATCATATATCTGAAACAAGGTTATTAACTAATTTATTAGGCGCAATTAATACAGTTAGCCTAGGTATGGGCATATTTGTGGACGAGACCACTTAACTATTTTAAGACACCAATTTAAATATTTTTTGTTATTTCGAAAGACAAAACTGATCCTTCCTTCCTTCTTCCCCCATTTTCTCCCTTTCCATTAGCGTGGGACAAGGTGCAGAGATTTAAAAGGGGAATTACATGCAAGATCGGAAAATACCATTACAACCCGCTGGAAACTTTTCATCCCTCTTCGATATAAAGGCGCCGCTAAAGATGAAGGACAGAAGAGAGGAACACAACTCTAACGTTCTGATCTGTTCATTCATTCAAGCATTCTGACCTAGTGAAAAAAGAACTGAGAGAAGATGACCCAATTTAAACTGTTTGCTGTCACCGTGATGATGCTTTTGTCGATGAACTTGTTCAGCGAACAGGTTGCAGCCTGTGAGTGTTACTTTCTTTTTCATTGTACAACTCCTGGACTTCTACATATACTCTGTCCAGATCTAAAGACGTGTGTTGTATACTGTATATAACTGGTTCGCTTTTCATTATTGCTTTTTTAAAACTTTTAAGCTATTAAATGTGCTTGCCGTGTCAGTTACATTAACTGTTTTTTCTCTATTACAGTATGTGATGTCTTTATGTTCAGTCTGGTTACCAGTAATTCTAACTGCTTGTTTTCTTTCAATTTCTAGACTGCTGTACAGGCTACTCAAAATCACAATTGCCATTCTCCAGAATCAAAGGTTACACAATACAGACTGTACATGGTATCTGCAACATTAGAGCAATAATGTGAGTATACAGAATATTTTAAATATTTTCATATGGTTGTCTGGTTTATATTTAAATCCTCTTACATAAAACACTTATCCAAATCAAGCTAGTGCCAAAATTTCAGTGTCATTTAATGGAGTCTTCATAAGACAAAAATCTGAGTTACACTCTCGCAATAAATTCCTAAAAAACACTTGTACAAACCATCTTAAAAGTTTTTATCATTGCTTCTTCTTAGATAAAGTGAGATCACTTTATGGGCCATATACAATTTCTTGTATTAGGAATTTGTCTTTTCACATACCCCAACTTACTCTCCATGAGACACACAGACAGGGAGAGGAGCCTGGGGTCAGAGCGCAGGGTCAGCCATTTATACAGCACCACTGGAGCAGCTGGGGTTAAGGGTCTTGCTCAGGGGCCCAACAGAGTAGGACTCCTCTGCCAGCTGCAGGATACGAAACCGGCAACCTTCCAGCAACAGGCGCAGATCCTTAGCTGCAGAGCCACCACCACTCTTCTTGCGAGGCAACATGTAGTTTAATGATAGAAAGAGCAGTACCTCGAAAAAGAAATATTAAGAGGTACAGTACATGAAAATGTAGAACAGGAATATTTTGATGTATTCTAATTAAAGATCTGTTCATTTCCAGATTTCACACAATCAAAAACAAGGATGTGTGTGCTGATCCAGCCCAGAAATGGGTGATGGACAGAATCCAGCGTCTTAAGTAAGTCCTACTATCTTTAATGTGTCATGTACTAGAAAGCAGAATGATCTACCACAACCTAGAAATGATTCCAAATTTAGCATGTTTAAGTAGTTTCTAAAAGCCTTACTTTTAGGTTGTAAAAATAAGACACTCTATTGAATTAACTGTTGCAATTTTAGTAATTCCTCAAACAAATGCTCTTACATTACCTTTAAAATTATGTTACAATTAAGATATGTATATAAGTGGCAAACGAATGTATAATTTGATGTTATCTGACTGTTCTTGTTTGCTTTTTTCAGGCTCAAAGCAGAGGCACTGTCTTAAAGATGAGAAGATATGAAAATGGTTCATGAAGAAAAGAGGAAACGATGCTTCAGCTGTACCAACAATAATACTTTCATTCACAGTCTTAATTTATTAGAAAGGGGGAACGAACAAAAGTCATTTATTTTTTTCTGTTGTTTGCACTGAAATAACATTCATAAACAAGATAGTATAAAAGTAGCTAATCTAATGATAAAAGTGTTTATGATAAATGTGATAATGACAAAACATATTTTAATATATTTATGCTGATATTTAAATTAATTAATTATGTGAACCAGAGTATTTACATCTATTCTAATATGTAAGATCAAAGGAATAATGAAATATCTAAAAAGCTAACATATTCTTATATAGTTGTCATAAGCTAAGTTTTGATGTTTAAAAACTAAAGTTTAATGTATGTTCATTGGAGGATGTTTTTATTCATATGGAAATGGACATGTGTTGTACATTTCAGAATTCACATTGAATGCAATGTAAAACTATGCAGTGTACATTTTATTAAAAATCCAGCATGCAAGTCCATGTTTCTTCCCTCATTAATGAAAATATTTTGAAAATATAAAATTCAGGTTTGTCTATACAGTAGCTTCATAACTCATGTTCAAAAATGCTAAAATTGAATTAGTCTGGTTACCCTTCTCAAAGACAATACTGTGATGATTTCCATCCAGGGTTCCCCAAACACTGGTGCACAGCACTGGTAGACCTCCGGAAGGTAGTATTAGGATAAGTCATCCATTACTTTCTAAACTCTCCAGAAAACACTTTCTCCTGAGACATGCAGTGACATCATTGAGAGACTCACTACTGTCCAGTCAGAACTACCTCTCCTGTCTGGTGCTGTGGAGCTTGCAGTGTGTTAAATGGACATTGTCTGCAATCACAAACAAAGGTGGAGAAAGTTTACAGGTCTCATTCTCTTTCACATGTACAGTATACCATAGTCACCACTAGACAGTAAAGTCTCCAAAGAATGATTCTAGATTGAAGGGTGTTTAATAAAAATATTTGAGATCACAATTAAAAAAATAAAAAGGTATTGTGCTAAAAAAGTTATTTTGATTTCTTGCATTGTTTTTTAAGCATACAATGTGCACAGCTACTGTACCAAACACTGTGTCTCTAATATACTGTATGCTCATTTCCAGTCAATAACTAACAACATACTGTATGAACCCATATACTTCCTCAAATTCTACTTCAGTTGTGAGATGTTTCCTATAAAATAAGAGAAATGGGATGCATTTGAATAGAGTGATGATGATCGGGTTATTTTAAATAAACCCGACTTAGCACTTACATGACAATAATAAATATGGAAAACAATGTAGATAATTGTAGAAAATAACCAAAGGTGTGTCACTTTTGTGAAACATACTCCCATTCTTTTAAAAAAAAATGCCACATTAAAAGACGACTTTAGAGAAACCAAGTGATTCCTAAAGATTGTTTGGTGATTCATAAATATGGCCTCCCCATGCCAGACGAGAAATCAGAAAGACCTTTTCTGGTTTCTAAATTAACCACTGGCCTTTCAACACTGTGACAGTGTGTAGTCGGAGCCGCCACACCGAGCACTGGTAAAAAGTGAACGCCCCCGGTGAGGGGACGGAAACACCGGTGTGAGGTCAACAGGGACCAAAAATAATACAAAAGTGGAAAAAACAAACAAAAAGCAAAAAGAAAGTATGCTGCTGCGCTGCGTTACCTCCAGGCTGGGTTTTACCTACAGTATTTAACAGCGTCCAGCTTGGGGAAAAAAAGAGCCTCTAGCACAGCGGTGACCAGACTGGACATATTGTACCCTCTTTAGCGGGGCCAGTCTGGTGAGGAGGGCACGCAAGGTTAAAACAAAACAAGAACTGCTGCATAACAAAAATGCGTGTGTATGCTACTGCCCCAGCGAAAGTGCGTGATGGGACAGGCAAAAAGAAAACCTTACGCGGTTGCAAATCTCTCCCCCCCTTCCGGGGGGCATGTCCAGTGTGCCTTTATAGGACCGGCCCAGCTGGGGCTCATCAGCTGGAAGCTGGGACAGCTGGGACTAAAAAAGGCAGGCGTCGCCCTTCTACCAGGGCTCCGCCTCCACACTGGACACGCCCCCCAGCGTAACTACACGTAGTCCTCGGACACAGGAAAAATTAAAATTAAGACTGAGATACAATGATTACCTTGTCTCTTGACATTTATAAAGTCTCGTCAATAGAAACTATTCCTTACTTTGGTGAAACCACACACAATGTATTGTACAGTATATAACTGTAATTGCACAAAATAAGCTTGTGTGAAAAATCAATCAAGAAGAATTGATTAGCACCACTCCATCTTTAGTGCAGAAATTGTCTTAAAATCATGAGGTGAGTTTTTAATAAATTAGTACCCAGAGTAATGTGTTAATGGCCATGCAGGTCAAACAGCACTACCTTATTGGTTAATAATAATAATTATAATATTATAATTATTATTCCCTATACTTCTATAGCACTTTTCTGGACACTCCACTCAAAGCGCTTTACAGGTAATGGGGACTCCCCCCCACCACCACCAATGTGCAGCATCCATACATCAGCTGTCAGTGGGGCAGAGTAATGAAGCCAATTCATAGATGGTGATGATTAGGAGGCCACAATTGGTAAAGGCCACTGGGAAATTTGGCCAGGACGCCGGGGTTACACCCCTAATATTTTCGAGAAACACCTTGGGATTTTTAATGATCACAAAGAGTCAGGACCTCAGTTTAACATCTCATCTGAAGTACGGACTGTGATAGATGATTTTGATAGTAAGTAAAAAACTGCTTCTGCTTTGTGCTTGTGCAGTACTGAGGCCTTGGCCAGTTGGCATTGTGGATTATCTTACTGTCATAGAATCAGTGTAAGTAAGTCTAGTAAGGAAAGCATCAGAGTAAGTTGCACTTTATTTTAGAATAATGTACAGAAAAACAGACTTTTCTTTATGGGTGTATTTTTCTAATAGTTTAAATGTGCGTCTCTGAAGTAAAGGCCATTGAGTGTTCAACATCAAAAACTGAAAAAACAATTATTAAAAAAATACTGTTTAAAAGCCTAGTAATACAATAAGGATGTACAATATACTGTATATTACTTATGAACATAAACAACAAATTTAAAGCTTCCAATAGTTTCCTCATAGTGTGCATTATTAAAATAATATTGTTATTTATACATATAAATGTTAATAAGCTTCTAATATAAGTTAGTCATTAAGTAATCTTTAATTTCCATTGGACAGGATCTTCAAAACCTTAAACACCACAATTCACAATTCACTGTAAAATATACATTATATAGTTCCTCAACATTAATACATTTTTTCCTCTCTCCTATACAGATACAGATTTATTAGAATTAATCATTAAATTAAAATAAAATGATTAAGGTATCAGTAAAATCACTACAACATAATTGGGGTTTTGCATATTGGAGGTAAAAAACACTCAGTGATCACCCTGTTTAAATGACTTCAATATGGCACCAGTTTGTGGAACCGGTCTATACTGAAGGGAAAAAAAATAATGAATAGAAACATAAATAATTATCTAAAAATGAAAATGAACACAGCAGGTGAAAAAACTGTCTAAATCGCATCAGAATTTTTATGCTTAAACAAAACTTCTGAGTTAATAAATTTTCGGTGGCTGTTACTTTAAGCAAAATCTCTTAGCTCCAGTGTGCAGGGTAGAGATATGGTGACACACCTGTAAACTCATGCAATCTGTGGGTATACTGTAGGTGACATTCCCAGTGCCAAAGATGACAAACAAGCCAGACTAGAAAAACTCCCAACAGGATCCGGCCCATTCAACAAACTGGATTACATCATCGGCTTTGTGTTGTTTTGTTTTTAAATGTAAACATCCAGGTTGGACTTTCCTCTAGTTTTCACTGGCTTCAAACACCTTTAAAATTATGATGTAATATATTCAATAGCATAATTATTGCAGCCTAAACATAATGTATTGACACCCTTCCTGTTTGCTAGTTCAAGTACAGTATGCAGCAAACATTTGTAGAAATACGCAATAATGTTAACTACTCCATTAACCTATACAAAGTCAAGCTACTTTTGCACTTTGAATATGATCAGTTCAAAATAGACAAAATAAAAAATATAAACATGTTTTAAATCTATTTATAAGTTATAATATATAATCTATAAATTATGAATAATTAACTATGAATCTATACATTTATCTACAAAATGGAAAATTGGCAACACTATTTCAGGGATTGCAAAATGCATTGTACAGTATATTGTAACAGGTAACCAGACATTTTTTCTCATTCTGCTTCTCTGTCCTTTTTTAACAGACTTCCTCAGCGCAGGGTTTCAAAGGTCAGTGAAAGAGAGTAACAAGAGAGTGTGCCAGGGGGTTTCCGCAGAGATCAGGCATAACTGCATGTCTTTTTTTAAATGTGACACTAACATTTTATTTTTTCCTTTTCTGCCTGCTTTTATTTTGGTATTATGCAAAGCTCTTTTCTACAGGCAGCCAGGCGAGATACACATGTTAACAAAATGAATCTTTGTTTTATTTCCTTCTATTATTATCATAGCAGCAATCATACCAGTTAAGAGTAAGTAATATTGTAAGTATATAATATAGTAAGCATGTAATATAGCTTCTGCTAAGTAAGTATATTATATGTGCACTAATATCTCATATTCAATTAAGAAGGTATTTTTTCAAATATATTTACTGAAGATCTCTTACTAAGGTTAGCAGTGACATGAAGTAGTTCGTGGAGTTTACAATTATTTACTACCTTATTTGCAAGGTAATAGGATATGAGAGGGGAAAAGAAGATGTGGTGCACAATTAAATATTAATATTTATATATAAATAAAGTCCAAATTAAGCACTTCCCTCCATTATTACAGCTCAAACACAGTAGCTATAGCAAAGTTTAATTTAAATGGTATCATGCACCCAACCTACAACAGTGTATGAATATCTATTAATATAAGAATTATACTTGGAAATCAAATGGATTAAAAATTCAGATGTGGGCTGGTGAAGTTTTTTTGTGTTAGGAGGTACAATGTTTTTGCACAAAACTGCTTAAAAATTACTCTAAAGTGACATTTAAGCAAAAGAAGAGAAAACCGCTGAAAAACAATGTTTATTGTTTTAATCATCAGCATTGGTTTTGTTAAAAAAAGCGACAAAAACATTATTTGTAGAAAATGGAATGCCGTTGTAAACAATCTTCTGTATATAATAAAAAGAATGTTGCAAAATGTAGAAATTCCATGCCACGTGCCAGATAAAAATTTTCTCCACTGTAAAAATGCAAGGGGAAAAGATTGAACAGTAACAAAAGGAGGAAGTAATTTAGGAATATTGTTTCCATATACACGCCTCATCACAGAAAGCCCCATGTACGAAACAGGTTCTAATTTTGATGACCTGTGGAAACTCCTGAGTCTGCCTGTACTGTATAAATGTGGCCTCCTGTTAGGTTAGTTCATAGCAAAGCTCGTAGAACACAGATCTCGTCTTACTGTGAAAAGTTGCTGACTGTACCTTAACAACAAAATGGCAAGCTCTAATCTCATCACAGTCATACTGTTTGGACTTCTGACAGTGAACTTGTTAGCCCTACACTCTGAAGCAGGTAAGCATTGTATTCACTTACTTAGCTTAAATAGCTAAAACCAGTAAGAATAAATACATTTTAGATATACAGTGGCCTTTTTGAGTAATAATGATTTTTTTAAGATCAAGTTGTATTTTACTTTGTTTTAAAAAGACTTAGCCTTACGTGTAAAATACACCACTTATTAAAGACACTTCTAGGAGTCACTTTCTTTGCTCTTTTGTTTTTCTCCTGTCATTTTGTCTTCACTGTAAGATTTAAGAGCTAGGTCTTCAACTGATATAATGTGGACAAAACTTTCAAAATGTTACTGAATAAATTACAGAAGGCCTGTTTCCTAAGGAAAAAGGTCACAGTTTACTTTGGAAGTAACTAATTAACTAATGGGAATCACAGCCTGGATGCTAAACCTCCTTTCTCTTTTCTTTTTTCTTTTAGCCCAAGGAAACTGTTGTCTCTCATACTCAAAGAAGCCGCTTCCACGCCATCTGATTGCAGGCTACACAATTCAGACTGTCAAGTACAGATGCAACATTGACGCAATTGTGTAAGTCATCGCACATGCCAAGTTAGCACCTGACACAGGTGCATTTGTAAGGGAGCGACCTGATTGCAGTCCAACTTATTATTGTGGCAACTACTGCCTAAACACATTCGTTCAAATGAGAACAACAGGGCTAAGAACAGCACTGGCACCCACAAGTACAGTTATCTTATTTGTACCTTAGGCTGTGTCTCTGTATTTATGCCAGCACATTTCATTTTGCAGTACAACTGCATTCTTTAGTCAGCATCTTCTCACTGTACATTGCGTACATATCTTAACATTTAAACTACGGCATACAATTAACTTATGATCTGTACACACTAGTAACTAAAACCCACAAAAGAGCACAAGAGCAAAGTAAATGAAACACAAACGGAAGCAAACAAATGAAAGGACTCATGTGTGTACTTGCGTGTAATCTTTGAAGTCAGAGTGGTGATTAAGATGACCTACAGTATATTGTGCACAGTGCTCTCCTCAAAGAGTATTATGATGATATTATAAATGTATTTTTTTTCAACCATGCTGATATGCTACCAATATCTGCACTTGCAGGTTCCACACTGTCAAGGGAAAATCTGTCTGTGCTAATCCAGCAGAACACTGGGTGATGAACAGAATCGAATGGCTGAAGTAAGTGTCATTTTTGGTGTTAGTTCTCTATGCTCACACTTCTAAGCCCATGAAAAACTAATATAAAATGCATATGCATTTATGAAGAAATGCTATAATACTAGTATTAGGCTATAATAATAATGTTTTTATTACAATTACTAATCAGCAGTCTTTAAGTTCCATCATAGTCTCTTTTTTAAATACATGAGCAAAATTATAATTCTATATTATATTATGTTGAAAAGTTAAAAATTGTTTTTAAAACTCTTCTTTCCTTCTTTTTCCTAGGGAAAAAGCAAACCAACTTGTTCAGTAAAATTCTGTCACCTCTTGAGTCTGAAGATGGATTGAAGAAGAAAATAAGCTAACGACCCAACTTATTTTTAAGCCCTGTACAAATGTACAAATACAGATGGAAGGACCCTCTTTTGTTCTACCTGCAAAATACTTTTTGGTTTTCAATTTTTATTGTAGATAATTCTGTATGGTCATTTTTACTAACTGCCTTTATGCTATGATACTAATGTTATTTATTATGCTGGTCAAAGATAAAGTGCTACAATAATTCTGTTACTCTGAAAAACTACTGTTATTTTGGAGCTTAAGCATTTACAGTACATGTTCTTATTCTAGCATTTTGAATGTATTTAACTTGTTGCCTAACAAGCATTTGGCATCATATTTGATTTGCATGTTTGTGTTATTAATCTGTTTCATAAACAGAAATGATGTAATGTATCGATAAGATACTATGGTAAGATATACAAGAAACTTTAAAACACTTTGTTTTATATGGTATCACACATTTGTGTTCTTAGTTTATCTCAATTGGAAGAGATTTGTTAAATGAATTTGTACGGAATTCTCATAGAAGGCTTTTAAACTGTTTTCCTGGGGATTAGTATGGATATTTCAGTAAAATAAAACAATATTTATAAATAATAAAAGATCAAGTAGTGTTCTGTCTTCTTTCTTAACTACAAAACTACAAAAACCTTTACAAAACAATCACAGCCACCACTGCTGTTTTTAAACTTCACCGTCCGGACACAAGCAACAAAGTCTTACTGTACATCAAAACAAAAAGACATCTTTCAAAATAATAAAATAGTAAAACTTTCAACAGAGTTATCCTTTTTACCATCACTTCCTAGGTTAGTCAATCAGAGACAGGCCATGTATAGTATAACACCGTGTATTGTATACATACTGGACCATATAAACTACATATAAAATAAGAAATTCACAAAGTTATTATCAAGAAAATGACAACCAATTTTGTAGCAGGTGCACCAATATTTTATAAACAGACACTATTTCTTTTTCAATGACTGCTAAGTTCAATACAGGGTCACAGTAAGGCAGAGCCTGACCCGGACAGTCCAGAATGGGATGTATACAGTCTCACATACAGTACATCTTGCAGATGGGGGACAAAGACACCGCTGAAGCTAGACCTTGTATGTCTTTGGACTGGGAGAAAGACGTAGCCCCTGGATCAAACACGTGACAATAGGGACCCAGAAAGTGCCTCACGCCTGCATCAAATCAGGAAGCCAAGAGCTGTGAGGGAGAAGTGCTAACCTCCAAGTTGCCAAGCCGCACCTGAGCTGACATGACACAGGTACATACGTTCGATGATTAACATCCATCATGAACGGGAAAAGTCTGTGAAAGTCTCGGGCTAGTAGCATGTGTTGTCACTGATGGACAATGTACAGTACAAGCTGTACAAGGGTGGTGTATGCTCTGCATCAAGTGCAGTATTCTGGGATTCCATCCTAATCCTGTAATAATGTTTGGACAAGTATGTGCCTGTTCACTGGTTTCAAAGTCTTAAATGCCACAGGTTGTCTCAGCTCCCACACATATCTAATGGGGTTTAAGCCTGGCAAACAGAAGATCCACAGCAAAATTAACACGTTCTCAACTTGGAAGAAAGCCACCCTAACACAAGAAGACATACTGTAGTGTTATCCTGCTGGAATTTTGACACATCAGGACACATCAGGTTCCAGCACTTGATAGACAACCAGAGTGGACAACCTGTCTACTTGTGATTAATCACAAGTGCAGTTCTGTTGTGGCTAGACATCCCTGCCCAAACTGTCAAACTTGGAACTTCCCAATGAACTTGGTGAAATGTCATGGTTCGAGGTCTACCAGCTTGTTGCAACTGATGACAATGTATCTGGCTGTAGCATCGTGCCACATTAGAAATTGAACACCCAAGACAGCAAGTAACAGAGGGCTGATCAGGATTAGCCTTTAACACACCAATGGCATGGATATGTTGCAAATACATGGCACAAAACTCTGCATGAATAGAAACAAGGCATTATGGTCCTTTTTCTAAGTTGCATAAGACTATACATTCAACAGGACAAAATCTCTATCTTTAATTAAATTATTTTGTGTTTATGCAAGTCCAGGTCTCTCAGGGTTATCACAGTCAGTCCTGAATAATCAATTAATCTAAAACATTTGATGAATAACCGGAATCAAAGCTTTATTTTTCTCAAAGCAGACAAGCATAGAGTCTTTCTTAAAGAAATTTAAGTACAGTAATAGGCCTTAAGAGAGCTGTGGGCTTCATTT